ATAACCTAGATTTTATTGGACCGAACACTGTTCATTTGTTAGTATACGCTTTAAAGCTTGATAGAAAATTTCTTATAGCTTATGTTACATAGTTTTTGTTTAGAAATTTTATAGTTTTTAACTACGATTTAATCTAGAAGGTAGCGTAAATTTCTTTTTTAATATATTAAAACATTTTTAGCAACGAAAAAATATGCTTTTAGAAACAAAACAGAATAGACGTCAGGTTTGCTACAATCGAGTTTCGATGAAAAAGAATCGAATTCTTTACCTAAAGTAACCAAAAAAAATTTTAATAAAATGATTTTTTTCCTTTTTTTGACCGAAGTAGTCCCAATATAAATGATGTTTGCCTAATTCTTTCGGACTTAAAACTTTTCATTTGTAAGTATACGCTTTAAAGCTTGAAAGAAAACGTTTCATAACGTCTGGTAAATAGCACTTTTTTAGATTGTTTTTAATTTTTACCTACGCTTTATCTAGAAAGTAGCGAAAATTTCTTTTTAAATATATTACAAAATTTTTTAGCAAATGTTAAAATGTGCTTTTAGAAAGTATACAGATAAGATGTTTGGTTTACTACAATCGAACATTGTCGAAATATAATTGAATGCTACACGTAAAGTAACCAAAAAAAGTTGTAAAAAAATGAATTTTTTCTGTTTTTCTCGACTGCAGTTGTTGTAAATGAACTATATATGCTAGATTTTTTTGGACCTAATACTTTTTATTAGGAGTCCAAATAAGTTTCCGCCGTTTTAATGTAGATAGCGCGGCGCGGAGTTTCCGTTTAATTCCGCAGAGGATGTACTGCTTAAAAATTAGTTAGGACGTTTAAGAACAACATAACCTATTATTATTGTTGACTTCATATTCTTAAAATATAATTTTTTTTGATGAAAATGTCAAAAGTTAAACCAAGTAAGCGTCATTTGCGGGAAATACTAGTTTACTTCTTTAATATAAAAAAATCTGCTGCTGAGGCGCATCGATTGTTTGTAGAAGCGTATACTGAGACTGCTTTGATTAAGAGAACGTTTCGTAAGTGGTTTCAAAAGTTTAAAAACGTTGATTTCGACGTAGAAGACAAAGATCGCAGTGGAAGGCCAAAAATTTACGAAGATGTAGAATTGGAGGAAATATTGGAGAAAGATTCCTCCTTAACACAAAGAGAACTTGCTCTAACATTAGAAGTCACTCAGCAAGCAGTCTCACATCGTTTAAAATCATTAGGAATAAATAATAAACAAGGGATTTGGGTTCCGTACGAATCAAAGCTGAGAAATATTGAACGTGATTATGCTTAAGTGAGATACTGCTTGCTAGACATACAAAAAGGGTTTTTCACATCGTATCATCACTGGTGACAACAAATGGATACATTATGATAATCCAAAAGGAAGAAAATTGTGGGGATTACCAAGCTATGCGTCAACATCAACAGCAAAACCGAATATTCACAGAAAAAAACTCATGCTGTGTATTTGATGGGATCAGCTGGGTGTAGTGTATTATAAGTTGCTTAATCCGAGCGAAACAATCACCGGAGCCCTCTATCGAACACAATTAATGAGATTGAGCCGAGCTTTGAAGAAAAAACGCTCTCAATACTATTCTAGACACGAAAAAATTATTTTCCTGCATGACAATGTTCGTCCACATGTAGCAGCTCCCGTGAAAAAGTATTTGGAAACACTTTATTGGGAAGTGTTACCCCACCCGCTGTATTCACCAGACATTGCACCGTCGGATTAACACCTACTTCGGTCCATGGCACATGCTCTGTCGGAGAAGCGGTTCAAATTATACAAAGATACTAAAAATTGGGTTGATTCGTGGATAGCCCTAAAAGACAAGGAGTTCTTTCGACGTGGGATCCGAATGTTGCCTGAGAGATAGAAAAAAGTCATTGCAAGTGATGGACAGTATTTTAAATAACCTTAAAATTATCATTCTTCTAGAATAAATACTTAATTTTTAATAAAAAACGGCAAAAACTTATTTGTTCATCTAATATTTGTTAGTATACGCCTTAAAACTTTAAAGAAAACGATTAATAGTTTTTGTTAAAAATGTTCTTTTTTAGAAATTTTATAGTTTTTAACTACGATTCAATCTAGAAAGTAGTCTAAATTTCTTTTTAAATATATTAAAACATTTTTAGCAAAAGTAAAAATGTGCTACTAGAACCATAACAGAATGGACGCCAGGTTTACTACAATCGAGTTTCCTTAAAAAAGAATTGAATTCTTTACGTGAAGTAACCAAAACAAGTTGTAATAAAATAATTTTTTTCTGTTTTTTTTGACTGCAGTTGTTACAAATAAAGGATATATGCTAGATTTTATTTGCTATAAGACTTTTTATTTGTTAGTATTCGCTACAAAACTTGAAAGTAAAC